AGGTGATAGCGGGCACGTCACAGCCATTGATCCTGCTAGTCTCGATTATGGTGTGTAACTTTAGCACACAAATTGATTCGAGGAACTAACCACGAAACAGGCTCACCGTACACCCTTGGTCAAGCTCAAGCACACCTACGTGCATCTCCTGTCGGGTCGCGTATCGAATTCATCCAAGCCGATCCACTCGATTTTCTGGAAGGCACAACAAAGACTTACACGACTGCTGTGCTCGCGCAGTGTGTCTGGTATTTCTCCTCTCCAAAGACGTTCACTAAAATCCTTGCTGCACTCGCCCCCCGTGTCCAGCGGATATGCATATCCGAATACGCGCTAACTGCCACGGACCCACGCGCTACACCCCATGTTCTTGCAGCACTAACCCAGGCGTCCCTCGAATGTCGAAAGCCAAGATCCGAAAGCAATATTCGCACAGTCCTGTCTCCGGCAGCACTTAAATCTGCTGCGGCTGGCATAGGACTTGTCCTTGTGAAGGAAGAAATTGTCATCCCTCCAGAGGGCATGTTCGATGGAAGATGGGAAGTGAGCGCTGTGCTCGCGGATGAATTTGAGAAGGAGGTCCTCGCGCGTATCGAGGATGAGAGAGAAAAGGCATTGGTGTTGGCGATGAGGGATGGCGTGAAGTCTGCGAGGGATGCGATGAAGGCGCGTGGTGAGGCTGTCCTCACGATGGACATTTGGCTAGCAACGTACACAATCAGTAAAATTGACTAATCATTATACCAGATATTCGCGATCCCGCAATACTTTCAGTGTAGACTTATAGAATTTCCCCCGCAGGCAAGGTATATAATCGGTGCGATCATATCATGAGCCTGCGAGCGCCTAACCCTACAAACCCCGTGGTAGGGTTGAACGTTGAACAATAGCGACTCGATTCGGGTGGTGACAACGCACCACTTGAAACTGTCAACGTCGTCGTCTCTCGCGTTATGTAACTCGAAGTAGCTTGTTTTTTTTTTAATCCTAAGGTAAATTAGTTGCCTTCGGACAAATACACGATAGGACTGGTCATGATGCTGAGCAACATAGCAGGATCAAACTGTCAGACCTCCCAGTGAGAATCGACATGAATTAAAATGAGAAACCGTGTCACTCAATGAGGAAAAACTGAGATAAGCCGAATTGGTACGAATTACCTAATTCAGCTTTCTTCACGCGTTTTCAACGCGATTCGTTGAGTGACCCAGTTTCTCGATTTAATTAATGTCACTTTCCACTGGGTGTCAGGAATCGCATCTCTACGGTATTTTCTGACTTCATGTGGGGGCTGAGAGGATGTTTGCAGGATTTGGTTGTGTCCAGAGAGTTTGAGACGATGTCTTCGAATACGAATCCTCCGGCGGATTCGCAGTATCAAGTTCCGGGTCCAGAAGGTGAGCCCCATTACACATGAGGCGGCTAACTGTCAGAGACAGGATTGAGAATAGTCCATTCCCCGCGAACAGATCAGACCTGCTGGAAACCATATCACTGCGCACGGTCAGGCGTTTTCATATAGAAGGACAATGGAGTGACCACCAACCGCACGGCCCACGACTTCAACATCCTCTCGGACCACCATGCTCATGTTCTCCACAAATCGCATCGTGCTTCGCCCTGAGATAGAGCAGCCATTCGTCAATCTCGAATGTGTAGCTTCGGCGTATCATCAACTATCTCTCTACTCCGTCGATGTGCTGACCTCGGATGATGTCTATTGGATGGAGTTTGCAGACAAGTGCATACTATTTGCTGCCATTCAGTTTAAAACTTGGGAAGTGTCGAAAAAGAAAGAGGAGAGGGAAGAGGCACAAGACGAGTCGTCTGGATCTCTCTTCGACGATGATGGTTTTAAGGCTGTTTCAGACAGTGCTGATATGTCCCCTGATGGTGCTAGCGGAGGTTGGCTACACAGGGGGGCTCAACATTACGAATTCCCTATACATCAGGTCGCTGCATCGAGCGCCCCAGCGTTTCACCACAACATGCACAGGACGCAGGTCGAGGAAACGGTTGGTCTAATCTACGTTAAGTCTACCAGCAGACAAAGCGAGGTTAGTGTCGGGGTAGCCCTGCTGCCTCGATGGCGGCAGGCCGGATTTGCGACCGAGGCACTCGAGCTCGTCATCCCGTGGCTCTTCGATCAGCTAGCGTGCCACCGTGTCCAAGCCATACTGATGGACTGCCCCTCGCGCGACGCCGCGCTCACTATCTTCACCGACTTTGGTTTCGTGCTCGAGGGTACACACCGCCGCGCCGTCATGAATGTGGAGCTGCAAGTCTGGCAGGACGTGACATACATGGGCCTCCTCGATACGGACTGGCTCCTTCGGCGGACGCAGCAATGCGAAAAACCAACGGTGTGGGACAGCATGTTCATGCGGCACCAACGCGAGCGAGAGGAGCTCTTGGAGTGGGAGGAACGGCGGTGCCTACTGCGCAGGACGTCGAGTTCGGAGACGATCAAGACCGCAGGCGATGCCCACATACGGACGCAGTTTATGGACAAGAGCGACGCGAGCGGTAAAGATGGATTCGTTTCGGACGCTTCAGGCGGTCAATCGTCGCGAATGCGGATCAATGACAACGCGACCGACCACAGCGATGAGAGTATCTCGGATATCATCCTGCCGGGCAGTCCGTACCTCAGCGACCCTCCCTCGCGCGCGTCCTCCACGTTCTCTTGGAGCGGGTCTGAATCTTCTGTGCCAGAGACCCAGGCCTCTGCAAAAGAAGGTCAAATGCAAGGGAAGCGGAGAGGGAAGCGGAAAGGGAAGCGGAAAGTGTCACAACGCCCTGTAGACGATAGCGGAGGCTATACTTCGAAATCTAGCTCGGGCTGGAGTATGGTGTCCATTGGGGCTGTGCGGTAGCGCAGTAGCCTTGAGGCTCGTTTGCCAGACGGAGTGGCCCCATGCGTGGGCTCGGTCGTAGATTCTGGCATTCCGACTGGACGCCACTCGCTATGGATCTCAGTAAGGATCTTGGGTGCCGTCTGCGATTTGATGTAGAGGTCAGGAGAAATGCGGTGCTCATGCAGGGGAACGAGTTTCGGCGCTCGTAATTTACTATGTGTTAGGGTGTACGGTAGCTTTAGTTTCTGCGCGAGCTGTGTGATCATGTAGCTTATGTGCGAGACCTTTGTACGTGCGATTTATGCAGTGATAGTATAGTTGTAGCAACTTATCAATCAAGCGATGCCGGATTGTGAGTACGTGTATTCCTGAGTCATGGAGGGCAGATGTCCGTTGAATTACAGCGCAGTACAGCCAATTGGAAGACCTAAGATTTGAGATAGATAGAGACATGCATTTCTGTTCCCGACTTAAGGCGCAGTGCACTAAACTTCGTTCCCTTACATCAAATCACCTATCATCGCTGCGATTTCTTGCAGGCTGCGGATTGTCTTCCACGGACCAAGGCCATCGACAGGTAGAGGCAGCTGGTCCTTCCATCCCTTTCCGATCCTGTCGACCCAGATAGCTCCCAATCCAGCAGAGCGCGCGCCAGTCACGTCGAATGGATTTCTGTCAACACCGAGTGGTCAGTGTCATCTGGAACAGCTGCCAACCATTGATGGAGAACAAACGGTTGCGGTACATAGTTTCGCCGCGACTCCCGAAAGGAAGAGCTGATCGGTTGCTTACCCACTGACAAGCCACACATTGGGTACGTCACCGCGCGCCTCAGGCAGTGTATGGTTAGAGACGCTGTGGAGAAGCGCCTTGTACGCGTCTAGAGCAGGCTTGTAGCGTTGAACACTGTCGGCGAGGCAGAGAGGGAGTGAATGGAGCGCCTCAGGGAGCGAGGCATGGAGAGCCGTGGTCACCATCTGTGTTGCATGAAATAAAGCCCCCGTGAATGCAGGACGGATGATTTAGAATCAACTATCACCGCTCACCTGCTTAGTTCCTAGCAACGAAAGAGCGCGATCCATCATGGTCAACAATGTCGTAAAAATAATATCCATTGTACGACGTGAACATCACGCACCATTACTGAAGACAAAGAGCCGTACATTTGGCAATTGACTTAGTTCTTCCAAGGCGGGGATGGCATCTGCAAACCTATAAAACCTCATGAGCTACAGGCGTTCACATGCGAGTGACTGAACGCCGCAAATGAGATCCACTATGTCCGTAATGTGTCAGACAACACCCTAATCCACATATTGACGCATGGAAACTGACTCGAGCTCGATCGTCTCCTCCGACTAGGACGGAAATGCACGCAGCAGACCACGTCAGACCATGAACCATTCAGCGAGCGGTCGCTCGCATGAAACGCTGATATCTCCGTGAACTAGCTGCACAAGATGTACGGTCGTGCAGGGCAAGAATGACGGCGGAATGAAACACAGGAGATCATCTGCAACGGACACTCACGGGTGGAGGCGGTCGTAACTGTTCATCAGCGCGGTGACAGCAGTATCGTCGAGGGTGATGTCCAGTTCTGCAGCAGCGTGCTTCAGGCTGTTCTTTGTGACGACGTCAAAGGGCTCGTACAGACCTGGACAGATAAAGAACTTGAAATAAGCCGCCACAACCAAAGATCTTAAACAGGAACTGACCCATGGAGTTCAACCTCCATGTGTACCTTTGAGATAAGCATGAGCGGAGCTATACTAGCACCAAATGAGTACTAGAGCCGACGTACTCGAGTTGGTATCTTCTCATGAGCTGACTCAGCTGGATAGCTTGATCATTAGAGCACTCAGCGACTTGGACTCTAATGGCAGAGGCTATGCTGCCAGTGTCCAGTATTGTTCCATATATGTCGAAGGCAAGGACGAGTCTACTTGAGTTCGACATGAGACGAGGTGGATGAGCTTCAAAGATCACGATATCATTGGAGCTATATCATTTTCGGATATAAATCACAAGAACACACCGTGAGGCGACAAAGGCGTTGAAACCCAGATATTACAATCCAACGAAAGTGGATAGGGAGAAGCAAAAAGCCAAGGCGCCGGAGTTTCCCATCCTGTTAGGCACAATGACCAAAGATGACCGATCAGCTCCTTGCTCCACACGCGTCGTGCTATTGCTTCATCTTATATCCACATAAATGTCAAGCTGTCGAGCGCGCGACGAGACGTCTCTCAACGATGACCAAGTAGTGAGATGAAAGGATGTAACAAACCCCTATATGAGGCACTAGTAAGTTGTAGCCTGAGAGGCACCAAAGACACAAGCCGTAATGTGAGCGCTGAGGAATACTATGTACACCTTTTTCATTTGTCCTTTCACATGCATCTCGCACGCATGAGTAGGGAAAAGCTACCGTCGCGCCAGATCTCAGTGAAACTTACACAATCGTCAACTCCGATGAACAGTGCTCAGGAAGAAATACAATCCCGCATCCGCGCTCAGTAGTCACTCTCGAGGGATCACGCATGGAAGATGCCAGGGATACCGCTGATCTTCCGGCGGGGTAACGACCGTGGAACCAATCGACCTTGCTTGGACCCTTTGTATCTTCGCCGGCGGCCAACAACATCAGAGGCCCACGTCCTCTCGGAGGCATGCCAAATCCGACTAGGACCCTGCGATGCACTTGAGGGATCACCAGAATCCCACGACCTGAATTCGTCTGTCATCGAGCGGCGGGCACCGCAATGCCGTGCGATCCACCTTCGGAAAAGATGGAAGATCAGCCGCTGACAAGAGCCGCCAATGAGTAGACTATATCTTGTTCGTGATTCCCTGCAAATATGGATAGCGACGAGTGTGAATTACACAGCTGTCACTTCAAGACGGTCAGTGAGTCGCAATTGCCGCTACCTCTAGGATTCAGGGGATAGCTTGGGTACAAGTGGTAAGTTTGCATCTTTAGAGCAGCTACTTATAAACTAGCATCTCAGAAAAACGAGTTGGAATTTTTTGCTGGATTCAATGGTGTTGAATCCTGTGTGATGTCTTGCAAAGACCTGCGAGAAAGAAGGGGACAACTGAAGGGCACCATGAGACGTGCTGCACCCTGCAGTCGACCCCTGGAGGAAGGAGTGCTAGTGAACGCCCATGAAGCTGGATGTCGACGCCCAGACAGAAAATAGTGAGGAAGATGTACGGGAAAACAATAGCAACGTGAGGGCCTACCATCGTATCATCCCAGCCAAACTGTGGCGGGCAGCCTTCCGCGCGTGTTGAGATGGAGAATCGCCCAGTTGCTGGAAGTGTTCTGCATTTCTTCCTATTTTCACTCGCTATCACAAACGCTTGACGTGCTGTGCAGATGTCGCATGTTGCGGACCCAGAAACGAGCGGGATGTTGCCTTTGACGACGGTGGAATGATCTACTTGCAACACGGAATCTTGGGCACGACGTACGTGATGTCCCCGGTCTCCAGGCAGATAATGACGGTTGATCGAACAAACAGTGGATGATAGGCTACAATATGCGTCATAAAATTGAAATGCTGCATTGTAACAGAGGCTTATGATGTGCGAGAGTGATCCACTGGTAAGTGCAGTTAGTAACGAAATGGTGTGAGGACGGTCATAAGACCAATGGTGTGCGCAACGTGGAGATAATTTTTGTGAGTGGCTCAAGCCTTTGATGTGAAGACGAGTCTGGCAGCGAGGTTGTCATGTTGATGCGATGCCTGCAGAAGGACAATAGCCGGGGAAGGCAGAGTGTAGAGGGACCCGCTCAACAAGCCCTGTGGCAGCAGATGCAACCTGTGCGTGTACCCACAAGTTTTCTCCTAGGGTCAGGCGAGAAGAAGGTCGGGAAGAGGGCCGCCCGATAGAAGGGATTGACATCGGCAGATAGCATCTACATCAGAAGAGGGAAATCTCAGCACCTCAAGGACTCTGCGCAATAATAGCGTGAAGACGGCCTGGAGCGAGACAGATATGCAGGCGACGCGGTGGAAGGCGGAGAAAGCCCCCTGCTTCCGGAGCCGCCCAGGCCAAACGCAGCATTTGTAGGCGTGCATCAGCTGAATTCTTGCCCCGAAATTTAATGCCGTGAGGTGCGCGTGCGGTGCTGTCGTGCGGCCGCGATCATGAATGTCGGCCATTCAATTGGAATGCAGCCAAACAGCACAGGAAGGAAGGCTTTATTAGGTATAAAATGGGTCCCTGTGGGTCCGACGGATTCCACGGGCACCGCGTGATAACTTTGCATGTCATGCACCTAGCAAATGATTTCCAAGAATGTGATTTGAACCAGAGGCCAGGATTCCATATCTAGAGCCATGATTTAGTCGTACCTGGGGCTGGCGAAGGCGAGGAGGGATACTAGTGCTGTGCAATGAAGTGCATCATTAGAGGGTTGAAGAAGACTGCACAGGATAATCAACAGTACATGTGACAATGGATTGACGCTGTACTCACGAAGTTCATGACGGTACTCCGACGGCGGCATTGAATACTAAAAGACTGCGACAAGCAGAATACAAGAGAGCTCATCGAGATTTCGCTGGCGAAGACGGACTGCATCCGAGTATTTCTCCGAGTCTAGCGTAACAGAAAATTGCTCGTTCAGGATTGCGGGGAGGATGTGCGACGGAGGCACTTACCTCGTCCAGGCGGGTATCTGGTGTACTCGCTAGCATGGCTGTGGGCGAGAACTCAAATGTATTTGCTCCCGCGAAAGTTCCATTTCTGCTTCACCTCAACGTGCATGCAAGCGGCAAGGCTGCCAGCCGAAGCGGAACAGCTTGAAGTTCGCACGGGCCACCTGCCATATGCGTTGACCGAATGTCCAGTGCGCACTTCTGCTAGAACATCGACGTCCCAAGGCTCTGCTCGTTAGAAGGCTCGTCCTGTACTTGCATGTCGAAACACAAAATGCAGGGCGCCGGGTTTTGTCGTGCCGAACATCAAAGTAGAGACGATCTACAGGGGAAAGGACCCATTACAAGGCACAGTTATTGTAGTTTTTGTTGTCTGCGATATTGCCTTTGATCCATGCTTACAAGATCAGACTACAGATCGCCAGAGTGTTCTATTCTATTATAGCAGGTCGCTTTGGCATTGCTTGTGCCCGGCCCAAGCAACCCGGCTGTTATTATGACTCATACAGAACCTTTATGTCGCCGTCTGCGTATCAGAGCTGAGTAGGCCCAAGATTCATCTCACTCAGAAGAAGCCCAGCAACAGCATCGTCGGCCCGGGCCCTGCTCAAGGTCCGATGACTGATTGAGGAATTTCTGGACAACATGTTGTCCGTGAGGCATCTGAACGGCGCTTGATGAGCGCTGTTGGACCCACATATCCTACGCTTTTAACCAGCCATCCAAGTGCCTCGGCCACAGCCCAAATTCCCCGCCACTCACAATGAGTCTCGCAGAGCATCCCATCCTCCAAAGCCTTTACAACCAGCTTCTTGCTCTCCTTACTGGCCCCGGCGACCGCCACTGCACGGCTGTCTGTCTTCGCGAGCAGAACAAACACTTTCGTGTCTACCCCGATCTCAATGGATCCTCCTTCAGAACTGCTGTCAGTGCACTGAACACTCATGTTGCCATCAAGGCACGCACCTCCGCCATCCAGGCTGTTCTGGCGAACGCGTCAGCTTCTCTATTACCTTTGTGCCACTCGCGTACTGACGCCGATCCTCCAGCCCCTTCCCCGCAGACAGCATTCGTGTCGATAAATCAACATACGTCCCGATCGTCGACGCGTTCACCCATCTCTCCGACGCGGACATCTCACAATACGCGGCTTTTGTGGTGCGTGTCTTCATCAGTCGCAACGAGGACACCCTCTGACGACCTCAAAGCGCGACGAAGCAGTCCTTGTCGTCTGGTCAGACTCCCCAGACTCCATTCTCAGCTCGTATCGCGACCTTGAACATCGTCTTCAGCATCAAGCGAAGCTGTGTCACTGCAGTGAGGTCCCGAGTGTTCTCCAAGACCCCTTCCTCAGCGGCAACTTCTTCGGAGCTGTGGACAGCTGCCTCTTCATCAACGAGCCAGACGAGCTGGCCGTAGATCCCTTGACCATAAACCCCCTGGACTCCCTGGATAGCGTGTATAAAAGCATCACTTGGAGTGCCACAGGCTTGACGCCACTACCTGAGCTGGACGGACTGCAGAACATCCGTCGCGGCCAGTCGCAAGTCTTTATCGCCACACCGGACAACTTCGATAACTTTGGAATTCAATCCCACTCGCAGAATGTCGGACTTACTGAGCTACTACAGGCACGTAGTTTGTGTCGAGTATGCAGACTTTCGTTGCTGACACTACGCGCAGATGGACTCTTCATTCAACTTCCCCGCGTTCAATGAGCCCTTCGAGGACAGCCCTGCTTCGACCCTATACATTTCGCCAAACGATGGGGGGAGGCTTTCAGACTGCTCACTCCAAGCTATCTCTCCTGCCGCGATGCTATCCCCTTCACCCTCGCCCTCGTACGTGTCGAGCATCTCGCCTGCAATGAGCTACCTCTCTCCCAATTACGCAATCTCCCCCGCGCTCACTGTATCTTCTCCGTCGTCCCTATACTCCCTCTCAGCGACGACGTCACCTGGATTGAACACGTTCCAGAGTTTCGAGAACGATGACGCCAAAGTCAGTGACGACTCTATGTCTGATTATACCGAGCTTCCTCCTACGGAGGTGGCCTCAAGGAGACGACAGCAGCCACCCTCTTATCTGGAGGATCTCCAGTTTATGGCGGTATCGCCTGAGTCTCCTCAAGTCATGGAGGGACTTCCCACGCTCATTGTCGAGCCCAGCCGAAAGCGCGGCCGCCCCAAGACATCCGCTCCCCCAGTCGCCTCCTCGTCTCTTCGGGAGCTGAAGCCGGCCATCAACCCACTGCCCCGATCGCGGCGAAAGACAACGCATCCTCCTGATCTCCATCCCCTCCCAGGCCGCCCTATTGCGACACGAGGGGCATTATTCCTGACTGCGACCTGGTCGCCGGCCCAGTCCAGCGCGTCGTCACCCGAGATGAGCGCTCGCACGGTGGGATACAAGTCAAAACGATCTGAGCGCGACGAGGAAGAAGACAGTGGAGTCAAGGCTGATGATGAGTGCGATGGGCTGGGTGAGCCTGATGAGGAGCAGGAGCAGGACGATGGTGACGATGACTACCGGCCAGAGAAAGAAGTGTCTGCCCCATCGCCGGCGAAACGCCGAAAGTCCTCGCCCCCACCCGAGGAAGATGACCCGCAGGAGGTATCTAAAGCGAAGGGCAAAACGAAGGGCAAAGCAAGGGGAAGGGGGGGCAAGCGAAGGAGATCTTCGAAAGAGAAGAAGGCCCATTGTCCGAACTGTGGGGAGCCCTTCACTCGCAACACCGACGTGAAGCGGCATCTTACCTCCGCTAAGTGCAACGGACGGCCCCCGCCTGACGCGAGGATGGCTCAATGCCCACACTGCCCTAGCGCATTCCTGCGCCCTGATGCCCTGGTCCGGCATAAACAAACAGTGCACATTGATCTATATCTGGACCATTAACGTAGCAACCTGTGTTTTTCTCTTTCTATTCCTTTCCGTTTTCGCTTTGTCCCTTGCTGTCCCTTACACCTCTGCTGACCTTGCACAGTAATTTATCATACCGCATCTCGATACCACGGCCAGACATACTTGGACCCTGTTGCGCTTACCTTCCAGTTCGCTGTCTATACTTTGCGCATTTGATACCCATCTGTAGTTTTAGCGTTTTCTTTTGCAATGGTCCTTTGACTCAGGGCTCTCTTTGACGAATTGGTCTGATGCTAAGGATTCAACGTGATTACTGTCGCCGGCCGCAGCGCAAGCATCATCGCAAGTTATCGATTAATGCCGCATAAGGTCCGCCCGGGGGCACTGCTCAGGGTCATGCCAGCGAAGGGGGAGGCTAAGAGACGATTGCAGAACACAAGCGCCCAGAAGGTCAATTGAATTATAGATCTCGGCGACTGCCTTGCGCTCATGGACGAGTCCGAGAATGAAGATCCCCGATTTCGGTGGCGATGTGTTCAGTTCGATCCGCAGCTGATACGCCCGGGCAAGCCAACTATGTTGCTGCTCGAATGAAGGTGCGAAGCGCCAGAGATGGGGCGGTGTAGGCGCGTGGAAAACACGCGGAGGGAGAACGCCCCCCGTCGCAATGCCTCCACGCTACGGGGAGCGGTGTGCGAGGAGAGCTTCCCGAAAGCGAGCGGGAGCACGCGCGACGATGGACGCGGGCAGCACGGACACGAGGAGCGAAGGCAGGACAGAGAAACGGGGTGCGGGCAGAAAGGACAATGCAAGATGAGAGCGATAGTGCCTAGCGCAAAAGCGGGAGAGTCCAGAGAAACTCCGAATTGCCGTTTGAAGGCTAGTAGAGAGGCAGCCGGCACGAGGATGATGGGTCCAGAGAGAGACGGCAAGGCGTCAGAATCAAGAATATCGTAATCGAAGGCAATACGAGCAAAGGTCCGACTGAGGGCAGCCGTGGCACATTGTCAGTGATCTGATGAGGAGACGAGTCATCCAGGCTAAAGAAAGAAGGACAGATGCGGAAGACTGGTGGAGCTGGACAAGATGATAAACAGATGATTTCGTTCCGTATACACGCACCTGCGGAGGCCGATGCGACCCTATGTAATGACGGTCGCCCGAGAAGGTAACGGACCTTCCATATTCGTGTACTAGGAAGAAGCAAGTTCGTCGTGATGAGCGTGTTCCAGGCGCTGTTTTCCGCACCAATATGGCAGGTCAACCTGGATATAACAAGCGAAAGTGAGCCTTGAGTGTATTCGAGCGAATGAAATTTTTCCAAGCTAGTTCTCGTACGATTTCGGAAGACCCTAGACAGTATGTTTAGACCGCAGCAAAGCTCGCTGGCAGTAGCGGAGGGATAGCCGTTGAGAGACGACGCCAGTGTGGCGCAGGAGGTTGGTGTGAACAGTCGGCATCTGCCGGACGCTCGACTGTGAGTGGCGACTTCGTTTTCTGCCGTTCCCCAGGACGAGCCCTGTCCAATATGGCTTCAGCATCGCATCCAGCGTCTCCAATCCCCTCGAGTTCAGTATCAGTGGAGGTCTCCGCGGTGATACCGCCTGCGAGCAGCCATCTGTCATACCCTACCTTTACCGCATCTCCGGCAGCCTCTCCACCTCGTTCTGACCAGCCGAGGCCCATACTCCAGGAACGACTATATGTGGGCAACTTACATCCAACAGTCGACGAGTGCGTTCCTCGGATCCATTACATCTGGTCTTTGGCTGATACAATGTCAAGATACACGCTCCTGCAGGTGTTCACCAAGTTCGGCAAGGTGTCCAAACTCGACTTTCTCTTCCACAAGAGCGGCCCCATGAGAGGCAAGCCTCGCGGATATGCATTTGTCGAGTTTTCCGACCCAGACGTGAGTTGGTTTCATCCTCCAGCCCCAGCCGTCGCTCATCCCGGGTTTCTTTGCATGACGCCGACCACGATGCGACCACCAAATATTGCTCCATCCAGTGACCCGGGCATGGTCTACGGCTGCTGGAAGTTCCAGACGAGCTAATCTAACGCAGGCTCGTTTTCTTTGTTGACAGGATGCGAAGAGAGCGCTCGTAACTGTGAACGACAAGCTGCTGCGCGGGCGGAAACTTGTTGTGACTCATGCGCATCAAGCGCCCCTCGACAGCGGCAGTGCATACGGTTCCGGTGCGAGATACAAACGGAGTGTGACTGAGGCGGGGAAACCGACAACTCTCAGTATGCTCAAGAGCGCGTCTGCTGGCCGGTCCGACGCGTAAGTCATCCTCAAGATCTTATGGTAAAAATGTTGACTCTGTCCCCAGGACCGAAGCCAAGATTGCAAAGATGGAGGCAAAGCTCCGTCAAATGGAACAGTCCTCCTCGGGGATTCCGGCGACGAGATTACATCCGTCTCTTCCAGCTAAACCACCGCCGACGACTTTGCTTCCTTCCCACGAACGTCCGTCATCCTCGTCTGCTTCGCGGCAGCCTCGAAAGAACCAACCACTGCCTTCTCTCCCGCTTCAGCAGAACACAAAGTCAATATCGTCGTCAGCGCTCTCACCCCCAATCACACCAACTCCTCACAGTGGCGCAACCAAAAAATCCATCGCGGGTGTACGGATAGTCAAAAAGAAGGATAGGTGACCGAACGCTTATGATAGACAAGCGAGCTTTGAGATGTAGTTGTTTTATTATGTATGCTCTGATGTCGCCATCGTGCTATTGGTGTGCTGTGCTGTGATACGAGCAACATTCGAAAGACATGTCTATGATGCGTAATTGGCAGGCCTCTTCATGTCCCTGGTAGTATATCGGTTAGTACACGCGCCTGTCACCGGAAGTTCTTTCATGTGCGCGCGAAAGCGGGGTTCGACTCCCCGCCAGGGAGAGTACTCAATGGATGAATAATTTTTCTTGTGCTGATTTTGTTGTATATACGTCTTTCAGCCTCTGTCTACATATTGATAATTCAATATACAGCTCTGATTCCTTGCATATTCATCAATGCACTCAGCTTCATCGTTATATTAAGTTGGAGGGGATATATTTGACCCTGTATTTTTTTACAAGATACTTGGTGCACTACTGCCAGTTCATGCAGCAAACACATCTTTGAAGGCAAGTATAACATGCACGTCTAATTGCTATGTTCATTTGTTCTAGCCGACTGTTGTACGTGTATCTTACGACTCGTCTCGCAGACGATTGGGCCTTTGGGATTCCCCTGATCGCAAACACCGTGGAGCGGGAAGAGACTTAGTAAGTCATTATAATGTAGCTTGTCCTATGAAGATGATGCGATCGATGAAATGTCATGCCACGCATGTAGCTTTATTTATGGCAAGTTAGATGCGTATAGCGACCGGCCGACCTCCGTGTCAATGGACACATTCACAGAGGATGAATCAACCTATCCACAGAATTCGGCGGTGCTCACCATCAGGACGCCTGATGTTTTTGATCAATGAATTTCGCTTACCGGTTGCAAAATAGCCATGACATCGACAGTGGATCTCCAAAGGTGAGCAATCTCATGGCATCTGATGACCACAGTCTGCGGCAGTCTTGGAGGGCTTGCACATCTACGGATCCGGCAGTTCTATTGAATTGGATTTAAGCGAAGATATGCCTGGGGACAGGAGATTAGAAAGAATAATTAATATCCCGTTGTACGTCCGGGGCGGGGACGTCCCGCAGACGGCAGCGCCTTTATGTTGATGTAAGACTAATTCCTTCACGTCATTAGTCACTGGGCGGTCCAGAGCAGCCCTTTCACTTCGTCAGTCATCGGTCGGGAGAGGACCGCTCCTGCACAAAAGAAAGGATGCAGCTGTTGTCTGCGGTCGACTTGTGTGTACAGTTGGTTTGAATACTCCTGGTCGACATTCCATTTCCCAGCATCATGCGAGTGGCAAGTGTTCGTATCAACGAAGTCAATGAGACAAGCGAGCCTCGAGGCACAGCAGCGCACGGGCACCTGTCCCCAATGCTGGACCTACCAACACCTACGCTTTATTGTATTGAAGTAAAAGTGACTGGACACGTTAGGCGAGCCGTAAGCCGGTGCTGCGTTTTACGTGGAATTAGCTCGGATGTAAATATTGCGACCACGGTTTACATGCGATACTCACCCAAGTTGCAGGGAATCAAATCAACTTCGGGCCTTCAGCCCACGTCCGTAGTAACGCGAATCACCTTTAGTAGGTTTTATGAGTACGGCCGAGTGGTAGACCGAGTGTAGTGCCAAGATCATGGGGGGAATTCGCGTGAGTCCTTAAGCTCAAGTCGTATCGGATCCAGGCTTGTCGCAAGATCATGAGTGCTACATTCCCGGGCCCGTCGGACGTTGACCGGCGCCTGCTTATCCGGCGCCATTTCCTTATTTGGCTATTGCGCGCCTGCCAGTGGCGGGCCGACGCGCCGCTCTGCTCGAGCTCCGAGCTCGAGCAGAGGGTACTACTGCCTGGCAGTACCAATGATGTTTATTTCGACTTGTCGATTGCTTCCGCCTCGCTAAAAATTGAAGCTTTTTGCCTTATGGCGTCCTTGAGATGTGCTCGACACCATCACGACCGAAACCAGAGCTGAGAGAAGTCTGAAGTTAGGTCCTCCTTGGGCGCGGGTATCCAATCGAAGAACGCAACAGGATGTACAAATGAAAATTATAACGATCATGCCAGAGTACTTTCAGACTGCGACAGAAGACTGGCGGTGGCCTCCTGCGCTGAAACATGCGGCTACAGTACCGTACGTTTCCAGAGAAGATGCGCCAGGACTCCGAGCACCATTCAACTCCGGGACATGAGTCGAATCGCTTTTAAAATAGCATGCAGTCGAACCTTACTTCATATAGCAATGGAATGCAAAAACCGTCTTCAGCCGGGCGCACCGGGGGATTCGCCTGTTCCAGGGATCTACGCTGCATCTCGACGAGCAAATTGGAGTGATTTTGAACGTTCTGACGACAGAGTAGGTAGATATCTACATAAATGGTCATCTGCAAAATCTCGCAAGTGGGAAGTCGACACGTCGGTCATGATTTGTATACTTCCCCGACGCAGCTACAGATATGCATAGATGTCAGGGATACGATGTCAGGGATACTTGAGCGGTCGTTGAGGGTGAAATAAATGAGAGAAGGATACATCAGGGCGTGGATGGAGTAGCAGTACCATAATGGACAAGAGCAGATCGATACCACCACGGTGGAGGAAGTCACAAGTCCGCGGGGCCGAGCAATTGTGAAATTGAAGTCAATAGCTGACTTTTCATCTCCACACTCATCAAACAAAGACGAGGGATCTAGGATATGAGTGAGTATTGGTAGAATCAATGTGGAATTTGGAGCCAATGCACTGTACGCGCGATTATTCACTCACACAAGCCGTCCACTGACATGCAGTGCAGGAAATTCTGACGAAAGTTGATGCGCTAAGGAATCCTCAGAGATCACATCCATCGCTTAGCTCTGCGGAACCCGAGAGAGAAGGTGAAAAGTGATCTTTTGCAGGAAGGGATTTTGACGATAAGAGAGAGTCTGGTCAAGTAATGCATAGGAGTCTTGGCCGACTTGATCAAGCTTGTCCTGGACAGCTGACGATGACGCTGTGTCATAGAACGCTGAGGTGAATTTGACCTCGATCAGCTTAGAAAGCGACGTGAGAGACAAAACGTCTGCTGCCCTGGTCAAGCCTTGGAGATAACGGAACGCAAATGACAGGACACGCAGGTTGATAGTTGGCGCGAGATCGATTGATGAATATGAGAGAACATTCGGAAGACGTCAATTAACATCGCACTGTATTATCGACAAACAACGTTGGTGACGGACCTCTGTCGGAAATATAATCCATCATGTTGATTTGCAGGAACAGGAACGACTCAGCGAAAATAGCAATCAGCTCCGGGCACTCCTTCATCCCGTCCACATAGCAGGTGAGATGACAAAGGCGCGCATCGATCAACGCAAGGAAGCCGACAACATCACCGCTGTCCGACACCTCGACAGTATTGAGTCGGAGGGGACGTTACTCCCAGACTCTGCCCGTAACATCGTAGTGCTTCTCGAAGCCCACCTGATAGCACATAAGGGAGGAGAGGCGGGGGAGTACACGCACAAGCCGGCCAAGAACCAAACCAGAAGGAAATGTCACTTCGGAGAGCTCGCGCACTTTGACCGATCCGAATACGAAAGTCACATGGATGAAGATTTGCGCGTGTAACTGCTCGGTTTCCCAGTCGAAACCAATGCGTCTGAGCCACTCGACGCGGGGCAACTTCTGTGCCATGCACACAGCAAACGTCCCAAGGTGCCGATAGATTTGTATGGTCCGTGCCACTTGAATGAGACCGTCTTGATGGCACGGCATCGCTCAGGATTTTTGTTCAGTGTGTTGATGAGACGATACACCTGCCTTTTGTCCGTGTGCCACACATACAGCATCTCGTTGTCACGAAAGTGGCATCGGTCATACCACCCTCCACACAACTTCCCCAATTCTGACAGTCAGAATTCGCGCATTTGGGGCTCCAGTTGTCCGCCAGATGGTCAATCACCTCCCACCACAGTTCGATCGGAAGCTGGATAGAATGCTCTTGAGGCTTGTCAAGTTCCGCTGCGGTAGTCTTTTTTTCATGGACTCGGAGGATTCGGCTTTGCTGTCTATCCCTGCAAAGTCCAGCCACGATGCAGATTGTGACGGTCGCACGCACTCACTGTCTCTATTTCTACTCTCTCTTTCCTGAACTTCTAGCCCAGTTGGCGATTCGTCATTTGGTACATCGGTGAGGGATAATAGGGTCTCAGGTCGAGACGGCATGGTGGGCGAGAGAGGTACGGCGCGTTAGATACCCCGTCCTTGCGATATATACCAGGATAGACCTCGGTAGCACGTATGATAAGTATCGCGCTGAGCCTAATTTATATAAACAGGATGCTAGAAGCGCCTACCATCTACGCACCCATACGTGTTACGCCCGCATCATCGTCACAAGACTCGCTGCGCAAACAAGGCCCGAATCATCCGTTCGCTTCAGAGAATTAGGACAGAAGCCCATCAATATGATCTGGACACAGCATGGCCATGAGCGCATATACCTGTATTTTGATACGCAATCACCAAGGGGGAGCAGTTTCTGAAAAGGTGGGGTCATAAGACGTACCGCCATTTCAGCGATCTTCGAAGCATCTTGCAAGGCGTCGCGATATTATGGAGATTGGACTATGATCTCGCTGCCTGTACCAGTGGTACCACCTCAATGGCCCAAATATGCACACAACGCCAGCCAGTCATACTTCAATGATTGCCTCGTAGATGATTCCTTCTTGCAGAATCGCACAAATCGAGGCCTCTGACTAGTATTGTCAAGTGCAAAGACCCATTGGGAAGCTGCAGTGGTCCAGTACCCACAAATTGATGCATACACTCGTCATTTCCGTCGAACACGAGCCCATGTCATAGCGTATGGCAAACTAGTAGCCCATATTGAACATGCTGTGAAGGAATGAAGCAATCGTTTGCATGAGAATTTCGCGTCCAGGAATCGATACACGGATAGGCATGTTCGAGATATGTACTATAGCTGAATTCTCAAAGAAGTAAGACGAAGCTAGCACCCAGAAACCTCGGTTCAAGCAGGGCAAGAACCCGATAAGCGCCTACCTCGACGCTCCGCTTACGGAAAGTTCCGATATACTGTATAGTTCCATCGGCAGGGCTCGGCATGAAACTTTGCTTTCAGGCTAGGGCCACCGACAGCAGTAGTAGCGGCAACACCTCAAGACTCCAACAAAATGTCTAAACGCGGTGAGTGGGCGAATCCCTTCGGTTCGATTGAAGCCTGTGGATATTCAATCGAATTGCTCAATCGAAATTCCTCGTCTGCGCGCGACTGACTTATCTTTGTGATTTAGGTTCGTATATCCTGCTATTTGTGTGCTCGATTTGCAGGCTATTCTAACATGTACCGTATTTCTCCTCGACGAATATTCTTGCAGGCGCGGGTGCATCTGGAAACAAGTTCCGTCTCACTCTCGGTCTACCCACGGGTGCCGTCCTCAACTGTGCAGACAACAGCGGCGCAAAGTCCCTCTTCGTGATCGAAGCATTTGGCACGGGTTCGCACCTTAACCGGCTGCCGGATGCTGGTGTTGGCGACATGGTCGTTGCATCGGTGAAGAAGGGTAAGCCGGAGCTGAGGAAGAAGAGTGAGTAGTCGATTAACTGTGCCCCGCGAGACACGCCCGCGTCTTTTATATGCTGATTTCAAAACTTTTAGCCATGCCTGTTGTTGTTGTCCGACAGCGCAAGTCATGGCGTCGGAGAGAGGGTTTAGTCCTCTATTTCGAGGTGCATGCCAATCTATTTTCGCACATCTCACTTGTTTACGCAAGGATCTTCAAAATTCAGGACAATGCGGGTGTTATCGTCAACCCCAAGGGTGAGATGAAGGGATCAGCAATCACAGGGCCAGTAGCAAAAGAATGCGTGCGTGAATCGCTGTGCGCGGTGCTAAATAGGAGCCATACTAATTTTTGGTTTTCCAGGCGGATCTCTGGCCGCGTATTGCATCAAACGCGGGTACTGTTGTATGAGCGTCGTCATTATCTGTTCCATGCATTGTATCATATACTACTATGACTATGACTGCAATCGCGTGCACATTTCTCATGGTCTCTTTAGCGAGTGAAATTGCATGAACATCCAGTGCCCAGAGTCACGATAGTCTGTACGATCCTGTATGCAACTGGAGCGTATACTTTCTTGCATCTACTGGTAAACCTACTAGTTTACCACCGGCGATTCTTTTGGGAATGTACAGTATGTACGTCAACAATCGCACCTATGGTAAAATTCCCATCGGTCTCGGTATCCCAGGACATAAAGAAGACATGGTTCGGGAATATATTCTCAGACCATATCTTCTTTAGGAGAATGCTGTGCTTCACAGATATCGCAGACAAGACCTAGTTTCCCAGACACTTGTTGTGCAATACGGTCTCAGGGTGCGGATGCCGCAAGGCATGCTTAAGCAGGGAATCTGCCAACTAGGACGGCAGCAGCCTCATGATTGAATCTGCATCGCGACAATGCCTATATTATCCGCGGACGAGGCTTCATGCATGGTAGGTAGATACTCGATAGGCCGTGCAGGAATGGTAATAGTCCAAAACAGGCCAGCGGGCATTAGCTAGGATATGCAAACACTAATCCCGAGAAATATCGAAGTCAAATCGGCCGGCCGGCCTATTAAATACCCACGTACGACAAGCTTGGTGGGAAATGTTGTCCTCGTTTTCGTTCGTCTGGATGAATGAACAAGTTGGGACGGGTTGACCTCGGATGTGGGGAAATCGAGCAGAGCCTGAATATCAGTGTGTCAATCGACAGCGGGCGCCCATCGCTGACATATCTCTACCCATCATCCTTGTCGCACTGTAGAAGTTCCAGACGAGCGACTCGGGCGAGGCAGCAAGGGAATGGAGATAGCAGAGTGAGCGTGTCCTGGAAGAACAGCAAAATGGCAGCGTGGTCCATGAACAACACTCACCAGCCGCCTTCTATGACATTAGCATATGATGAGCCACCGACATGAAAGAACGTTCGTTGATCGGCTATACTTGTCAAAACCTCCATTGTCCACAATCATACGGCCGCCGTCACACATAGCGCAGAAATTTCACTTTGGGGTGTGGCCGCCGCGAGCAATATCCGAATTTCCGTACGACTCTGCGAACGACCCATCGGCAGAGAAAATCGCCAGACTTCTGGTAGCGATATGGTGCAAGCGTGTGAGAACGAGAGAGGACGAGCCAGCGAGTACTCGTTCCGACGTCTGTTTCTAGAGCTGCGGATGGCGCCATGCGAGCGCCCGGGACAATCTCCTGCCGTGCACCGCACATCCCCTAACGATCGTGGTAGACTTTCTACGCAAGAGAGTAAGTTAACGACGGCGGTGAGAATGGGGTTTTCGGCTGGCAGACCTTGTGAGGTCGTCAACGCCCACGTTGATCGAAATGGACATCGAGTGAGCTTATGGAGGACACGCCATGTCGTGTCTCGACTGTAGCATGGTCTATGTCATAGGGATTAGGGTAAACTTTGAATCGTTGAGATATGGTAGACCTTCGCATTTTCGGTTATATTATATTATGTGTGAGCTGCGTGACCTACGGTATTCAGTAGAGCACACAGTGATGAGCAGAATACTCACTAGGCCTCAAAATCTCGACATTCGGCGGGTCCAAACCTGCACCTGCACATGAACAATGAGCATATAAGAAATTGCGTTCCTACTATTGAGCTTGAGAGGAGGAAAATCACTCCATTGCGCATTTCAGAAACAAGAAAACAATCATTTATGATGAAAAGTCAGGAATGCTAGGTAAGAGCATTCTGGCTAAGGAAGGTGTCTGCGGGCTGTGGCCGTAGTATTCCCATCCGGGACGGGTTGCTAATATCCTCACGTCTAACTTGCACGAGGTCAGAATACGCATAAAGTTGAGTCTACCATAATCGGGCCAGATTCTGAAATACACCGCGGGTGTTTGCGAGCTTTGCAAAGCAGCGGGGAGATACGAAGAGAGAAGGACAGCCTGGGTCGGGCCTATGGTACGAAGATTGACCAGACATAACTAGTCAAGGAAGTAGATCAACCTAGCCACTAATAGGTTCTAGCTCATCTTTGTCACATTGAGATAACAAGCATGCGGCGCGGGCACCTGAGCACGTAACACGATTTTGGTAGTCAAAAGAACAACTGGGGCATCCTATGTAGTCAGCACTTTACTTCTGCGCATGCACAAACCTTCGAAACTTGCTAAGCACTACACTAGAAGTGGTGATATCTTCTAGGCACTCTTCCAGTCGAAGTGGTTACTGAAGGACCATTCCATATTCATTGAGGGAAGCTGAGTGGTATGATGATACATGACTTGCTTGACCGAGAGGAGCGTACGTTGTGGAACCGTTCAGACCTATGATGTTATAGTAAGCAGCACATTACAGTAACGTCGTCCGTTCAATTCGTTTGTAATATCACGTGATATCATATCCATGTGCGATCATTGTGACAAAGGCGAAGGCGTGACACTAACGCGAATTGCAGGTCCTCGTTCCACCATCATCAACGTTTGCGCACGTCTCTGGGCCGTGCGGGTTGCCTCTGCTTACATCTCACATGTGCTGACTACTCTGGTCAGGCCACTTGTCTATCAGGCTGTTGCATAGTTGGCCCGTTGGTATCTGATGACTTGGCGATATTGCTATTCGCAGAACTGAAAATTTTGCAGATCATGGGCGTCGGGCTAGGAATGTGATTCATGTATGTTTGACTTACCTGCATCAATCTTCGACAACGTGCTGACTGAAATTACGCTTCTGAATAACAGGGCGAAAGCAACGACGAGCGTGGCGAAATTTTTCGCCTGACCTCTGATCATAAGCGGAATTCCGACTTCAGCGCTGAGGGATCACTGCAGTTCAACGTCTCCACTGTAATACTGTTTGAGCTCCGTTTGAGAGCATGTATGTACATGCCTATGGTTCATGTCGCTCCTTGTGCGACAAATTCAGTCTTCATCTTTATTTTGCGTATGCTGATATGACGTAGACGCAGTGGGTCAGCCTTCTCCCGCACCTTGCTCCTCGGCGGCACTGTCTGGGCCAACTTTATATTGTGCCTGTGATGAGTGCATCTGCTCTGGACGATTGATTAGAGCGTGCCCCGTCGATTCTATTCGTTTCAATTCAGAACACGAATGCCGCGGAATGCCACTCGCTGCCCGGTCCCGACACCCGTGGGCTAGTCTCTCAGGCTCGGACGACACACCGTGGATGCATGCTATCCAGATTCTTCTCGTGTTCCGTGCGTTATCGTGCATCGCCATCGCGGCCCGCTTCTCTTCTCGTCAGGTTATCGTGCTTCCTGCCGCATCGTCCTGAACCCCTCTACTCGATCTAACTAGGAGACACAGGATGCGTTTCTGGTGTATCTTTGTTGCTGTGATCTGGATTCAGGTCGTCCTGTTTGTAATCGTTTCGTGACCTGACTGAGTGGTATTTCACGTATCCTTTATCGCGGGATCTTGCGACTGATACAGGTGCTAATAGCAAATTGATTGTTGTATTGTTCCTTCGGACGTTATTCTGCTGGTGTGACAGGCGCCCTTTTGAATGTGCGAAGGCTGCAGGGCCATCCTCCTAGCCATCGATAGAAAGGATAGAAAGATGTGCCGAATGTGATGCAATTCTTCGCCATTGATAGTCACTTCACATTGCTGCCTCGCACTCACCTGTTCACTGGTGTTGTTCAGGTGGTCTATTTGACGCATTATTTCTCTATTTAGGACGATCCGATTACCAGCCCTCATGACCAGGACAAATGCCCTGTGATGCAAGTTGGAGCACATTTAGATTCCGCGGTGGATATCGGGCGTGCGCTTCTGCGATCAATTTTTTGGATCTCTCCTCGCAGTCAAGCATCTCGCCTGGACACGCGTGGGAGGCGTGCGCACTGAACCTCCCGTTTCAGTTCTATGTTCAGCTTGCGCTCGAATCCAGGTCACATCACAGTAATCTGATTATGCTGGTATGCAGGCTCCGTGACACTGACTCACACCTAACGTTGCCCCCAAGATCAAAAATAGGATAGGGAGGTGTCCGTGACATGGCCGGGGATGAGACCCGTTCCGGTCCCCTATACGTTCTCGGTTGTTGGCTTTTGCGGATATGGCGGGAGTTAACTATGGGGCTGGTTTTGCGAATTGCTCCGGTGAGTACGCTGAGATGTGCCTCTAAACAGGGCCTAGCTGACCCTAGCCTCGGGCTGATGGGTTCAACAGAACCATGAGAGTGTGGCAAAAGAACTTGACTGCCTGGAACAGATCAGTGCGTAGTTGCAATTCATCGTGCGATGAGAGGTTGCTGAATCATGGCCACGTGACGGCTTCTCAGCGGGTCACATCTGAACTTAGTCAAAGAATCCAATGCAAGGAAACCACTACCGAGTCCAGCTGACAATCCGTTCTTGGCTGGTCTCTCGCCGGAGATCACATTCTCTCGTGAGGAAATGCATGGGACGCCCGCCGCACTACAAATAGGTTCCCACCTGCCTCTCTCTTTCCTCGTCTTTCCCTCTTCCGTATCGACCGACTATCCTCCATTGACGCGCGAAGAGTAGCATCAACGCCATGCCATCCAAACAAGTCTTCGCATCTCAAGACGGCGCGGTCTATACCACCTCCACTGGCGCACCTGTTGCTCAGCCTTATGCCGCGGAGCGTGTCGGGAGCGTTGGTCCCCTCCTTCTCCAAGGTCCACATCTCTCTTAATCTCCTTGTTGAATGATGCTCACGTACATGTAGATTTCCACCACATTGACCTCCTTGCCCACTTCGATCGTGAGCGTATCCCTGGTGCGTATCATCATACCTGTTATTCTTCTGTTTATGATCTTACGATCTGATTATTAACAGAGCGTGTCGTCCACGCCAAGGGTGCCGGTGCGCATGGTTATTTCGAGGTGACGCACGACATTACCGAACTGTCTTGCGCATCGCTCTTCTCCAAGGTTGGCAACAAGGCTCGTGCCACCGTCCGATTCTCTACCGTCGGTGGTGAGGCAGGATCAGCGGACAGTGCTCGTGACCCTCGAGGTTAGTACGCTGAACGACTTTGTATCCCTAATCCGATCTTTATTGTTTACAGGTTTCGCAATCAAAATCAAAACTGATGAGGGTAACTTGGATTGGGTATTCAACAACACGCCTGTTTTCTTCATCAGGGACCCCGCCAAGTTCCCTCACTTTATCCACACACAGAAGCGTGACCCCCAGACCCACTTGAAGGATGCTGACATGTTCTGGGTCAGCTCGCTTTACCGGTGATGTTTATTTTTGTAGACTGATCCGTATTGTTTTAGGACTATCTGTCGCAGAACCCTGAGTCCATCCACCAAGTTATGACCCTATTCTCCGACCGCGGGCACCCAGATGGTTACCACAATATGCACGGATACTCTGGCCACACCTACAAGTTCGTCAACAAGGAAGGAAAATTCCACTACGTCCAGATTCACCTTATCAAAGACGGCGGAGCGAAGTCATTGACGGAGCCTGAGGCTGGCAAGTTGGCCGGTGAAAACCCCGACTATGGTATTCAGTCGTTGTTCGAGACCATCGAGGCTGGCAACTTCCCGTCCTGGACTGTCTATGTGGTATGTATCAAGTTCGTCGAATAGGTGGAGTAATGCGGGCTTACACTTACCGCAGCAAACTATGACGCCAGAGCAGGCTGAAAAGTTCCGCTACAACATTCTTGACCTGACGAAGGTCTGGCCGCACAAGGACTACCCGATGCGACCTTTCGGCAAGCTCGTGCTGAACGAGAACCCACAGAACTACTTTGCCGAGATTGAGCAGGTGATGTGTACTCGTGACTGGGCTCTGACAACCATGGCGCTAACTTTGTGTTTGATATCGGACAGGCCGCGTTTTCGCCTTCCCACAGCGTTCCCGGTATCGAGCCCTCTGCCGACCCCGTCCTTCAATCCCGTCTCTTCTCGTACCCCGACACCCACAGGTAACCACCATTGAGGTTGTCTCATTTTTGTTAATATACTGAACTCTGGTAACAGACATCGTCTCGGCACCAACTACAACCAGCTTCCGGTCAACGCACCGATTGCACCCGTCGCGAACTTCCAGCGCGGTGGTGCGATGACGTTCGTCAGCCAGGGAGCCCGCCCGAATTATCAAAGCAGTTTGGTGCCTCTCAAGTACAAGCCCAAGCCGTACCAGGATGTCAAGCACGAGATCTGGCTCGGCCACGCTAATGTCGATCTCAGCTTCGTGACTGAGCGTAAGTTGAATTGTATTGACTCTGGGCTGCTCTTTGCTGACGTAGGGCTTGCATGTAGTTGACTTCGAGCAGCCTCGCGCGCTCTATCAGAAGGTCTTCAGCGACACCGACCGGGATCACCTCGTCCACAACGTCGTTGTCCACCTCAAGAACGCGAAGAGCAAGGAAGTTAAGGACAGGACGCGTACGTATTCTCACAGCGACATCCTGCGTCAGCGTAGAATTGACTTTGCGTTATTATAGTGTCGGTGTTCGCCGCCGTTGACCAGAGCCTCTCAGACCGCATTGCCAGTGGCATTGGTTCCTCTCCCGTTGCGCCCTTGAAGGTCGCTCCCGCTTCCGAAGCTATCCGTTTCAAGGCGTTCGCATGAGCAATGGCTGGTGTTAGGTGTTCGTCATCAGGCTCGGGGCTCTAGATGTGCTTCTCAAGATGTATCATGACCAATTCAAGTATACACTTTCATGTGTTGTATTCCAGGCAAAAATGACATTACGACCGATTTGTTCCCTCTTCGCTCACTACCGTGTATACAGTTTGCATGTGGGTTAGATAAGTGGGCTCTGCGGAAGCGCACGTTAGTGCCCACTGTCCTGCGCATGACGTTGACTGGTACCGATTGCCCAGGATATTGTTCTTTCCTGGGGCCCTGTCAAGCTATACTTGCAAGCGACGATTTCCTGTGAGAATTTTGAGTCAGCACAGGGGAGAAGAGGGGAACTTCTGCCTATGGTTCGACGCGCTTCATCCAACTACTCTCACGTCCTGCCTCAAGAGGTCCAAGGTGAGCATGATCCGATAGCTTCTTCGCGCGCCGGGTGCTGTCTGCCATTCAACTTCACATTTAATTTATGACGTCTATGGCGACAACAAGATCTCGCAGATTGGTCTGCTATCTATGTACATATGTTGCATAACGTATGTCCTTCGATATCGCCCATCCACCTGCGGTAGCAACACACGCGGATTTAATAAGTTACACTAGCCTTTGAGTATGTAAGTTATATTTTGCCTTCTGTCCTGGATATCCACGATTATTACTTCTGAAATCATCTCTTGCAAGTTCAGGCACGCCTCCCTGTCACTTTACACAATTAGGACGCTTCGACATGTTCTCGAGATCCTGGCGTTCCGGCGTATTGCACCGTAGTGCCTATCCTGAATGAGCTCTCTCACACACTTGTTTTCTGATAGATACTCACAGATAGTTTCATGTGATTAAGATATCGGCTGAACGCTTGGGCATCGGCCACATATCTGAGGCGGGAATGCCAAGTCGGAATGAAGATCCTGCGCGAAATCTGGAGCCCAGATGCCCAGCGCGATTAATGGCATTGGTGTCTGCAGTACCATGTCGACTTTGCCATTATAGCCTGAATCCTTCTATTGACGATAGTAGTACCAAGCGGCTGCTTCGGTTCGTTTGTCCATCCAAGCGCTTCCAATAACTTTCGTCTTTGTTCACAACCTGAGAACCTTCGCGATTTCTTATGGCCTCGAGGCACAAGCTTCATGCGGGAGGCCACGGGTTTACGATTGAGCAGGCCATCGTACTCATTCCTCAGAGTTGATGCGTTTTCCACCATGTCGAATACCAAAGGGCCTGCGAGATGGCTAGTCACTGGCAGGTGTCGCGCGCTCCACGGCGACGACCGAACAATCGTAGAATCGCACCAGTGTTGGTTTGCATTTGTACGTCTTTTTTGGTGTTATTGGTGTGATCGTTAACGCGACGTACGTTTTAATTTGGAATCCTGTCGGTCAGATCCCCGCGCCCAAGACCCAGAACGGAGGACCCACGTCGAACCTCTCTGGATCCAGCCGTGATGCATCGAGTACGTGCTGAGGACGCTGTAGGGAGGCAAGTGAGACTAGCAGAAGTAATAGACAAGGAAGATCACAAACATGGCAAGTAAAGGAGCGGCGCGGCGTGTCGGTGGCGATGACCAAGGAAGCAAAAGGTGGCGGGTCAGCAAGCAACTCCTTCCTCTGCCTCCTCCATCATGACCCCCTACATTCCCTGAGCCTTACTTCTCTTCTTTGTCTCATCCACCTATTTCTCCCTTTGTTAATACAATCATCCTCATGCAGCACATTTTGACTGATCAGTCCGCACACGTGTACTAGAAGCAGAACTACGCACGAGTCCTCGTTCGAATGGAACACTCATCGGAGTGTGGCACGAGACTGGATCCGATACGACCTTCAGGCAGTGTGCGATTTCAGCATCCTACCTACATAAAGTATAATAAACAATGCGCGGTGGAGCAGGTTGTGCAATCCGATATATATCGCAAGCAACGGGCACTTAAGGTGCTGTGCATTTTCCTCTCGCCCACTACCGTCTAAGCCTCCGATCCCATCTCTCACCAGTCCATCACACGACGAATCGCCGACTGAGCTAGAAGTTAAGGCAAGGGAAATATGTGGTGGAAATACAGATAGTGAGTGGATGTGACAATGTGACAGTTACAGTGTGTCTGATGGCTGGACCTTGCAGCGGCAGACGGCGGAGCCTTCGTCTCTGTGGCAAAGATTACTCCGGCGGAAGTCTACAGGTCCCCTGAGCATTCCCTCCAGCTTCCGATATTGTTATGGGAGAAGGTGATTGACTATCTGGCGGACTACTGGTGGACAATGACATGCAGGATGGAGGCCGGATACGAGAGTTGGAGAAGGTGTGTTGGGGATGGCATGCCTGATGCCGCTTTCATGGCCAGGAGACGTTGTATGTGTGGGATTTGACCAAACTGCAGGTGTATCGCCTGATCAAAACGCTGGCTGAGGACCCTGAGTGATGCCGTGCCATCAAGACGGTCTCATTCAATCTGCAATACGGGTCGGTTGCCATCTTTGGGACGTTTGTTGTGTGCATGGCACAGAAACTGTCCCGAGTCAAACAACTCAGACTCGTTCGCTTCATTTGGAAAACTGAGCAGTTGTATGCGCAGGTCTTCATCCATGCGGCTCTCGCCTTCGAGTCGATCAAAATGCTCGAGCTCTCCAATATTAAATTCCCTTATGGTTTGCTTTTGGGCGGCTTCTCCGTGCGCTCCCCCGTCTCTCCCCCCTCAAATGCTGTTACGTGTACTAGATAAGTATTGCAATGTTCCGGGCAGAATCTGGGTGCAGCATCCCACCCGACTCGACACCACCGATCTTAGTGTGTGCGATGACGTCTTTTACTTCCTTGTCATGATCGCCGCACACTTCTACAACCTTTCCTGCTATGAGGACGGGCTGGAGATGTGCTCGGAGCTGCTCCCTGTGACCACCAAGCCGCTCTCGTCCTTGCTCTTCAAGCTACTGTTAGATAAATTCGGTGAAGGCACGTCGCCAAGGTTGTTCGTTGAGGACACAGTGCGACGGCACCTATCGTCTTTTGTATGTTCTCTCAGTGTTTCAAATCGATCGCACGCTGGCTTGCAATCTGTGCGTCCTGTCGTTCACTTTTCAGTTCAAAGACTTGGCCAGGGCGGCCGATGTAGTGTCTCGCGCGTCTCTTCCTCGGCGGATGGAGTTCAGGTTCATTTCAAGTTCCACGTTCCAAGGTAGCACGCCAGCTGTCCGAGACGTACTTGATCAAGTCAACAATGATTCCTATGCATTGCTTTACCAGGCTCTTTCCGGCCGTTGATATCCCGCCCTACAAAAGGTCACTTTTGGCTCTTGCTCTCAAGTTATTCGCAGCAAGGTGATGAATGTGATACTCGAGGACTGCTGGGGGTGTCAGTTTGCGTCAGCGTTTCCCGCACTACATGCTAGTGGCCGGCTTGTGTGAGTAAATCACTGCATAAACCCCTCATTGGCTCCGAATTCGACATTGTTTATACTAGTATTCAGTCGCATTCCAGAGGCTCTGTGTTTATCTAGGTTAAAAATGAGTGGGAATGATAATCTACTTCAAGCTTCTGTTTCACAATTACTCCCGTGGACGTTTTGCTTTCTCCTCGTAGTGCCATCTTTCGTATGCGTCTGTGCTCGCTCCGGCAGATCCTTCTTTCCTGTACTCTCTGTCCATGCAGACGTACAGTCATTTCGGGGAAGCAACACATATGATGATCGATGTGCCGACTTCCAAAGTCCTAAACTTATACACCGTGGGGTCACGGCTCACGTATATTATTTCTATCATTTTTGCCTCTGGATTTCCTTCTAATCGACGCTAAGGGTCCTATGTGGTACTAGCTGGCAGCATCACAACTGGCAGATAAAAAAGTTAATTTACATTCTAATTGCCTATGTTTTTACGGCGATAAATGCATGTTGATACTAATCAACACGTATGTTGTTCACTTGACTCCACGTAGCCACTAAGCTAGTTCACCATGTACCCAAGGCCGCATTACGAAGGCTGTACAGTGTACACCAATCGGCGTGCGCAGCGCCGTCGAAGGCGTTAACGTTGGCGTTGGTGTCGAGACGCGACGGTACGTGATCGGCATAAATACTGAAACACCCGCCAGGCTTGACACGCTAACACCGCCTCCTTGGGCCACTCCTTAAAAAATAGGAGAGGGCTCAGGGCACCGATAGTTGCTACTCACCAATTCAACAAATATTTGAGTACTGCAGCAGAAGGACAAGGTTATGAACGGGGGCGATGAGTCTGTTAGGCTCAGTGAGTACTACTCCGGTGCGTTTCAGGCCCCGATCAAGTCAGATCAATTCTGCCTTGCTCTCAAACCACTTCGCTTACATGGCAATTTTGTTGCATATGGTACTGGGTGGACGACCGGAAACACGGCATCGACGGTGTATATATCATATTTACCCTATCATCCATGGCCCCTCTCAGCGCTGCTCCCCGCCATGTCGGACTTTTTCCGCTATCGCCACCAGCCCGTCAAGACGCTCTATTTAATCTATGCGGTCCTCTCTCTCTTTGTGCGCATACCGTACTGGACGCTCAGGAACCTTCATCCAGCATGGCGCCCTCGACGCTCGTGGTCTATATCGCGCGTGCTGTTGGTCAATCTCTACCGATTTTTTGGATACGCTGCTATGAATACGTCGGTCAGTGGGACGCACATCGACCCTAAAATTTTGGAACAAGAGGAGGGTGGAAAGTTTGGTCTCGTATGGATTGAGCCCAACCCCGACTTGATTATTGGGGAAATCAAAGAGACTGCAGAATTGAACGGAGTGCTCCCTATAAAGACCCCAGGGTTCTGGCACGGGCAAAGAGGATCCGATGGAAGACTAGGTCAAAGGGCAGGTCCGGACGAGAAAGTGATCTTCGAGATACATGGTCAGTAGTTTCCACTGACCGATATAACGATATATAAATAAATTTGATTCATTTATTTGTTCTCGTAGGTAGCGGATGGATAGTCAGTCTGATCCCCTCATCGCTGCATCATGATCCATGTGCTGAGCCTTGTCTCATTTCAGATGCAGAGCGCAGGTCCCAAAACGTTCTCCGCTTATTTCCTCAATCAGATGTTCAAACAGTGTAAGGGATACACCAGTGCTTTCCTAGTCGAGTATCGCAAGGCTGCGGGTCCTCCCCATCCTCCCAAAAACCCATTCCCTGCTGCCCTGATTGATGAGATCATGGGCTACAACTATCTCGTCAACATCGTCGGATTCAGGCCAGAAAACATCCTTGTCACGGGCGGATCGTCGGGCGGGAATCTCGCTCTCATGTTAGCCCGCTACCTTACCACCTATCGGTTTGAATCACTGCCTCCTCCCGGTGCGCTACTCCTCATCTCGCCCACCATGGACTGGGGCCGCACGCACCTTGGGCCTAATTCATCGATGGTGCGCAACGCACGGTCAGACATGGTTGCTGCGGTGATGAGGGGCTACTCTACTGCTGCAATTTTAGGATCTCTTCCCGCACGGGAGGCATGGGAGAATTCCTGGATATCGCCCGGCAGCGCTCTCCTTCCGGATGTGAAAGGCCGCTTCGCCAATCTCCCCCCTCTTCTCATAATCTCAGGAGAGGCCGAGATGACCTTAGATGGTATGAGGGCTGTCCGTGACCGCGTTATCGCGGACAATGGGGCAGATATGGTGACCTACATCGAATTTCCGGACGCAACACATTATACGTTGGCAAACGAATGGCACACGCCAGAGAGCACTGAAGGCTATGGTTTGATCGCCGAGTGGCTTGAGGGTCTCAATGCTTCCAAGTAGGTTCTTGCGCTCGCTGCGTACATTCTTATAGTATTTGCACATGAGTATTGTTTTCTCGGGATTAATTTGCATGACATATCTGGTGCCCGGCAATCCCAGTTCCATAAAACTCAATGCAGCTCCAAAGGTATTCACTCATTGCTGGAAACACCGTGGCTGGTGGACATATCACTTCATCTATTACGAGTTCAATTACACAGAGAGTAAATTAGAGCGCGTGCAGCCTCTATGGACCGGAGAATGTCTTTGCCAGTCATATATCGAAGACGAAGACTGAGGGCGTATACATTTAGGGCTGGACCTGAGAGCCAAATATAGCTGGATCGCATGTCGAATGCGGCAGTGAACGACATGACATAAATGGAGCAGGTACAGATTGTACAGTATAGCATGCGAATTGGGTTTAAAGAACAGCGTAATCAAGACATGGCATACTGTAGAGGTCATCTGCATGAGATGGTGTGGCCGAAAGTCACCGAATGAACAATACTCGCATCACAATATGATCCAGCTTGACCATATCCAACTCAGCTCACCGTCTTTCCTTGCTACCATCAACTTCAAATTCTAGCTACACAGCTACACGTGGACACTCAAACATTTCGCACAGGGCCATCGGCCACATTGGCCTAGGGACCGTGAATAACGTGTACAAATCCAGATCCATTGTGCTTAGACCCACGCTGTCTGCGGCAGCAGTGACAGAAGATGCTAGTGTCGAGGTATCAGATTTAGTCCTCTGGCATGCTCACTGTCTGCGCCGGGATAAGACACTGTCGCAAAAAAGGGCACAGATCTTGCAGAGCGGTTTGCAACAAACGAGAAAATTATCAGGAATGGTGTCGACTTGCGCTCCTTCCCGCCCTTGTCGCATCTGCTAAGCGACCTGATAACGAACGATGTGGTGCGACGGGAAGGGGGGGCTCCTAAAGAAGTTCTGCGAATGTAGCAGCGCGTATTGAGCCCGGCAAACATGATGGGGTACGGTGGGAGCTGCAGTAATATAGAAGAGTGTTCCGTTTCCACGAATGGGTGTACATAGACTGCGTATGTAGTCAATAGAACCATGTTATTATTAGAGTAAGGGCGGAACGCACAATTTACCAATTAAATGCTAGTTACAGCGAATGCGATCAGTGAAGCTGCCATTTGTTGCAGCGTCAGGCAACCTGCTGCTCAATAAGGAGAAAGTAGATGTACACATAGCTGCAATTGCCATAAGAGAGCACACCTTCAGATAGAAAGTGGCATTAGCACCATCCAGCATTCATTTTATAAACCATCAGTATCGGAACGGTCGAATCACGCTCGCACTGATTGATGTTGGTATCGGCGAACAGAAGGTATGAATCGAACATAGTTGGCCATTCCGATACGGCAGCGAGCGAGCAGGACGCATAGGGAGGATGTGACGACCACATCGACGAAAGCTATAGCACCCAGCGGAAAGTATGTCACCCACTATTCAAAATCTTACTGTCAGAATATGTAGGGCGATGCAATTGCGCGACACGACTTCTCACATTTTCGACGATCACGTCAGTATACAGTATAGACTGCGTGCTGAAAAGAGGACTCAGTTCAAGGGCACCATAACAAAGGAACATACTATCTGAAGTACATCGATAACAAATAACTACATATCCGGAGTTTCCACGTCAGTGAAAGCACGAGTCATTCGTAGTAGAACGTCACCTACAGGTCGCCGCACTCAGGAGCAATATCAAGGTCAATTTTGACCGGTGCATCGATAAATCTGGAGTAGTTTAGGCTTACCTTACCTGAGGAATACGACGACACTCTGCCACGATAGGCATACATTCAGTGTCAACGAGTAAAGAACGCTGGAAGCTTGCTTGCGACCACGTAGGACGTCTCTGTCCGACCATATCAACTTAATGATTCAAGTTCAGATTCAAGTTCCATGCAGGGCACCATTCTGCCGCTCACCCTCTGCTGCGCCTCTTCCAATACCATTTTTTAAGATCTAGCCCACCCGCATTCCGAGTCTAAATACAAGAGTTTGACCTTGGAAGGCTTTGATTATCGGAAGGGAGTAGTGGCTCCTGAATTATGATACTCACTTATGCATCTAGGACATCGCACGAATAACTGTCTGCGAAGAGATTGCGAAGCGATTGTGCGATGTGATCACCGATGACTTGACCATTCATATCAGGTCACCTTCAGCTTCTGCATAACATGAAGACTGGCACCACTGGACACATGGGGGACAATTTCCATGCGACACATTGATAAAAGATCTAGTACACATGTACGACTGTATTATGCAGCATAGAATACTACTGGCGATCTGTCTCCGGCCAACCTAGTACGGGACTCACACTGGAGAGGGCACGCAAAAAAAAAGAGTTATTGGGCGCTTAGGTTCAGACTGCGCGAAGAGGCAGACATATACGCCTAGTAGAGGATAGAAATTAATGAGAGACCAGTACGATAGCGCACGAAGAGATCTGAATCAACGGGAGAGGACAACATACCGACTCGACGTGCAGGGGCAAGCGCGCTACAGTTGAGAAAGGAAACGGCGGGCCCGCTCTGCGCGCCACTCTTCTCGCGGCCCCTCGGTTTTACACATTTCCTTCTCGTTCAGATGCGGCTCTTCTCCGCAATTTCCCGCTGGAACAAGTGTACCTCTTTTCTATCTGCATTCCTCTGCAGAAGACTTGCAAGTTGCAAATACATTGAGCAGTTTGTCGGTGTACTGGACACATTGTCAGATCCATATATGCGGTGGCCGGTTAGCGATTGAATAGATGAGCTGCACTGCGTACGTCATTGCGTTCTTGTTGCTAGTCCTGCGCACTGACAGACGCTGGGTCCGGACCCAACACGTCTGCACCGTTCCAGCCTCATCTCTTCCACCCACCATCACGCGCCACATCCCCATTGCTCACAATCTCCACGTTTCACGAGGGCGTAATCTTTCGTCTCCCTCACTCAATGCCTCGTCCCGCTGGCTGTGGGCGTACCCGACACACCGGCTGCCTCGCGATCTGACTTTCCCGGCGCCAACGTGAATTGAATGCATTGCAATGCTACGCACCCAGTCCACGAGTCCTGTGGACGCTCGACGCGATGTGCCACGAAGACCCCTGCGACTTACTCTGATTGCGACGGAGCATTGACGAGGTGTCGTGATTCATTCTATAAGGTAGTTTTCATTTGCTACTTGGGCCTTGGGCGAGATGTTTATTCTTGTTTCTATACTGTTCCTATACAAGGACACTAGCGGATGCTCGCGTACGTCGCTTCATACGATATTTAGGTCCACGAGCTGCTACAGGAGCAATATTCTGCTTCTGCCTGTGGCACTTCATATGCATTGGAAGACACGGAATTGGCTATGCATGCTGTGGACATTGCACTGTCTCTCCAACTTCACTGAGGGTTGAATGGTCGATGACGGGTCTGCTATTCAGACCCTGCACTCTTGCGAAGATGCGGCGTCGTGGTACATTGCCCTAGTTGCACTCCAGCTGTGCGTGCGTGCCTCGACATTATCAGGCTGATCTATGTTGAACGTGTAGTTGGAACTTCAAGTTTCGAGCAATAACTATCAATTTTGATTTCCTCCATCACCCCATACAAACGGAGAAGTGCAGAGCCCCATGAGAGCGGACCATAACTTCATTCGGTGAGTCAGATAGCAGGAGGATGAGCTGGAGGCTCTGCTGTAAAGAAGTGGCCACGTGCATGTTATCAAAGTGCCTCACGACAGCGCAAGGTCACCTCAACTGCCACCCGCTCCAAGACAATCAAGATGATCAGCATCGGTACCTTGGAGCACCCTTACCTTGACTCCCAACAACCCTATATTGTAAGCTGTAGCCAATACTATCAGGGCCGTGGGACATGAGAAAGAACAGATTATAGGCTTGACCTTTAAGGTATTATGTGCTTTCCCCTTCGCCTACCACCTGTGAATGTCATCTCTACCTGCGACCCCACCCCTCTCTGGTGTACGATATGACGAATCGGTACATGGGCCGAAAGTCAAGGAAGGGGAGACGTGTAGTGCAAGTAGGGACAGTGAGTACATTCTGCAATTACAACATGCAATATCTTTGGACATCGCAGGAGTAGAGGACAAAACCAAATCCTTCGAGTCTATCGATATTGCAAAGATCACTCCACCAGAATTCGACAAGAGCCCTGAGTATTCTATCCAGCTTCCAATCGAATTGTGGGAGAAAGTGATCGACTATCTCGCAGACGAGTGGAGGGATGATTACAAGTACGACGGTGCACGGATGCGAGAGTTGGGGAGGGTGTGTCGGGGATGGCATGCACGATGCCGCTTTCGTGGTCGCAAGATGCTGGATGTGAAGCACATAGACAAAGAAGAGGTGTATCGCCTGATCAACACACTGGACCAGGACCCCGAGCGATGCCGTGTCATCGAGGCGGTCTCATTCAAGTTGCGATACACATTGATCAGCATCTTCGGGTCGTTTACCGTGTGCATGGCACAGAAACTGCCTCGAGTCGAGTGGCTTAGACTGATGAAAGTGTTTTGGGTAACTGAGCGATTACACGCGCAGGTCTTCGTCCATGTGACTCTCGCATTCGGGTCGGTCAGAATCCTCGAGCTCAACATTACAAAGTTCCCTTCTGCGTTGGTTTTTGGCCGGCTTTTGCGTGCGCTCCCCCGCCTCTCTTCCCTCAAATGCCATAGTGTGTACTTCGAGAAGCGCTGCAATGTTACCGGCAGAGTCTGGCCATGGGTGCGGTATCCCCTTCGACTCGATGTTGTCGAAGTGTCGGACAGCAACGATGTCGTCGACTTCCTTGCGTTGAGCGGAGCACGCCTCTGCCATCTCGTCTGCTGTGACCCAAACCTGGAGAAGCTGTCGGAGCTGGTCACTGTGTCCGCCCAGTCGCTCTCGTCCCTGAAGATCGCACCACAGTACGCAAATTTTACTCCTGACAAAGGCACGTCAGCCAAGCTGTCTGTTAGGACACTGAAATGGTAGCTGACCTCTTCCATATGTTCCCTCAGACATTTCCCTTGACCTCGTACCTGCAACCAACCTACGCGTCCTATCGTTGGAACTCAGATACCTCAGAGACACGGCCATAGCAGGAAATATGTTGTCTCGCGCATCTCTTCCCAGGCTTATCGAGGTCATAATCATGTCAATTCTCTACGATTCCACGTCGTCAGCTGTCCAGAACAAACTTGATGAAGTCGACAAGGACTCTTATGCACTGACTGACCACATTCTTTCCGGTCGTCAGTATCCCGCCTTGAAACAAGTTACCTTTGACCTTCTCTCTCGGGTTCCGCGCAGCAAAGTGACGGATGTGATATCCGAAGACTCCTTGGCGCATCAGCTTTCATTAAGGTTTCCCGTCCTGCATGCCAGTGGACGGCTCGTGTGAGTAAATAAATCATTGCGCACACACCTCCCTTCTACTAGTACTCACACATACTCTAGGACAATTCTGTCTGTTCAAGTGAGCGATGAGTGGGAATGATGCTCCCAGTCTTCTCCTCGCTTCGATTTTTCAACCGTGACTCGATATTCCTCTATTATAGTGGCATTATTTCGTACTTGTCCATCATATCCCTTTTGACGTTGATTCATGCCTGCTCCGGTGTATCCTTATCACAAGATGTCTGGTGTATTGCTTATCATAATCATACCCCAAGTCGAATCTAGGAGCGGCATCCCCTCCGACGCGACACCGTCGATCTTGGTCTCCGAAGCGGTGACGTCTATGACTTCCTCGCGTCGATTTCCGCGCGTCTCCGCCATCTTTCCTGCCATGAAGGTCACACGGAGAAGGCCTCGGAGCTGGTCGCTGTGTCCGTCGAGTCGCTCTCATCCCTGCACGTCGGCCTTTTCCTTGCTGCTCTCGACTCAGGTGCATCGCCAAGGCTGACGCGGACGTATTGCGAGGTCAGCTTACGTCTTCTGGGTTACCTTCCAGCCTTTCCCATTGATCTTACGCCAGCTATCAACCTACACATCCTGTCGTTGGATGTCGTCCTCCTCCAAGACTTGGCCAGAGCAGCGCATGGTTTGTCCCGCGCGACTCTTCTCAACCTGATTGAGGTCAGGTTTAGTTTGAGTTCAATTACAAGCCTCAAAACTACCACGTCCCTCCAGGACGAGTTTGAGAAAATCGACAAGGATTCCTATGCACAGATTGACCAGACTCTGTCCGGGTGTCAACTTTATCCTGCCCTGCAAAAGATCGTCTTCCAGCTCCAGTTTCTGATTTGCAGTAGTGTGAAGCCGAATAGGATCTCCGAGGACTCCCTCGCGCGTCAACTTTCGTCAGAAATTCCTGCACTGCATGCCAGTGGATGGCTTGTGTGGGTAGATCATCGCATACATTGCACAATGCCCATGGCTCGAACCAGTGAGCGTACACCTATGTAATTCTCTCACAGAAACAACAGTGGGCTGCATTTGTGTGCTGCCCGACGTCAGATGAATCGGGTCCAAGCCAAGGCTGCTTATCACCAAACGGGGGGGCGGGGTCACGGCGTAATGAGGCACGCAGGGAGATGTATATAACGTGTATTTTACGGAAAGCGCAAAGTGGAGAACAAGGGAGAAGAGCGTGCGGTCGTCAGGAACGCGCCCATGATTATCGAAGGATAATGCGCTGAAAATTAGCGTGTCCAGCAAGAATTGGTATTGTGCGAGCACGAAGAGAGGTGAAGAAAGTGAAACGCACAGACAGCGAGCGAAGAGACAGACAAACGAGAGAAGCGTGGAGGGGGCGGAGCGAGGGGTGACGGAGTGTACCATCGATTCAAAAGTCCTCTTGTGCGGCATAACAGGTCACGAAAGCGGGCACATAGTCCGATTGTGCTGGGGCGATGATGCTGACCCGCGCCAACCCACGCTCCATGCTGTCCGTCCTTCCTCCGCCCTCTAGCACCGCATAACTTGCCTTGAACGTCTTGAAGTGAGAGAGGCCCGAAAAGTAAAACGTACCGCGACGCAGTTCTCCTTTTCTGTAAGTGAGGAGTCGAGTATTTCAACTGAGTAAAGCAGGATAGAACAGCTGATGCGGGTTTATATCGTAATGCATCACACAGAGATGCTGGAGGCGACTGGAACAGCGCCGGCGCTGGCTTAACTGGAGCAAGTCGGAGGCGGAGAGGACCCCGGAAAGTCTCCTACGAGCCTCAATCCCAGAGTTACCGGAATGGGGGGTCTCCAGAGCCCTTATGTTAGATCCCCGCAAGCCAAATTTGGGGTCAGTTGCTGCTCATCTTCGATGTCAGGACCGCTCGGGATGTCCAGCAAGGTTTACGAGCTAGCTTTAGCTTGAGGAACTGTGGTTAGATACTTTCTATTGTACATTCAGTGCTGTTAAAATTCTATGCAGTTACACGAGATATATTGTCAATGTGATAGATGGTAAATGGAAGAAGTATTCTGCGATTTTTTTTTTGAGGTTTGATCCCATTAGAGCCGAAAATCGACCAATCTGCGGGAGCATAATGTGCCATCAGGCCGAATTTGGGCCTACTCCGACCGCCGAAAACGGGTGCCTGAGGGATCTAGGCTCCTAGGGGATTTTCCGGGGTCCTGAGGCGGAGGTGCACGACACCAGGCGACAGCCAGCCAAGAATGGAAAAGCACTGTGCCCAACGTACAGAGTCTCTTACCATACAGGAATAATCTCACCGCATTTCATCAACGCAACTGCCTCAATACATATCTGCAGAGAAGACGTCAAGTTGACTGTACAGGCGGTAGCAGTTTTAGCAAACTTGAGATCTCATAATCCGTACCTCTGCGGTTGTGAAGCTGTATTCTACCCAGGCCGCCAGCAAGACGCCATTGTGGACTCACTGTGTGTGCACGCGCAGCGTCGCAGGCGTCCAACATCTAACGTTCAAGTCTGCCACGGGTACGGAGGTATGTGAGCTAGTCTTCGTCGGGCTCGGGAACCAGCAGCGCGCGGAGAGTGAGAGCGTCGGACGTGGCCGAGGATGGTATTGGGGCAGACTACAGTTTCAACACTGGATATTGAGGCTGAACGTTGAACGGCCCCTGTGGTGAGTTTGTATCCAACTCGCCGCAGGCGGGATCGCATAGCAACTCAGTAGGAAGCAGCACTAGGTCAGACGTCAAGGACATCGAAGCCGTTCTTTACGCAGCTCGTGTCGATGATGTTGTGGTGCACGGCTGTGTACGTACTTAGACGGTAGGCGATTTCAGCATCCCGCTAGTACTTACGTGAACTAGGTTCCAGTGTAATAAGGTTAGATAGGCAACGGCTGGATATATATCCCAAGAAACATACATCTCCCTCTCGCCACCATGCCATCATCTCGACCTGCGCCCCCGTGTTTCACCAGCGTAGCGCATGACGAATCACGGATGAGGCTAGAAGTTGAGGCAGGGGAGACGTGTGGTGAGCGTAGAAACAGTGAGTGGGTGTGACTATGATGGTGTGCATGATCGATATCGCTGGACTTTGCTGCAGCAGACGGTGAAGCTGAAGCATCTGGATCTATCGCAAAGACAACTATACCGGACTTTGACATGGCCCCTGAGCATTTGACCTTAGTGCCACTGTGATATATACCTGGTAAACCATGTAGTAGCACACGCATAAACCTCATCCTACGGCCTCTGACATCCCAGTCAGTGTCCTTCGAACAGTTCCTTTTCCCGTGCAACTCCAGCTGCCCTTATATTCTGGCCAAGGCATTCTTGTCCACGTCTTCATTCTCAAGTGAGAGGTCGTCCAACGCACGAGCCGTATTCTCGACTTCATCTCTCTCATCGTAATCGGACTCGACCGCATCCGAACCCACTACGAAGCTTCCGCTATCATCTTCCGGCAAGTCCATAATCTCAATGGATTGATTGCGAGAGTTGACCAAATTCTGAAGATATCTATCATTTGCCCAGTCGTAGCAGTCTTTGCTACGCGTCCAACCCGGCTTGAGTCGGCGAACCTGGCGTAAGTTAGCTCCATCTTGACGAGGATGTTCCTCATATATGTCTCGACCGCCGAGCAAGTAAACGTATGCGTCTCTGTTTTTGATGACTGCGTACACACTCCTCGAGCAACCCTCAACAGAGATGGCATATCGCGGATGACCTGATGCCGAAGTCGTGTTGCGCGTTTCTCTTGGCGGATGAATCCTCATGTTAAACTCGGCTGGGGTTGATCGAGCGTCATTAGCAGCCGGTCTTGCAGAATCGCGATACTGCTGCTTCGATTTTGCCGTTTGTACTCTGAGGTTCATCAGCAGAGTAATATATGGTCGGACGTCGGCATCGTTGGGCGGGAAGAATCCACGTCTGTCATTGAGTTTGGCCTGGTCGATCACCACATCCCGCGAATCATTCCTGTTCTTTATCTGCACCAAAATTGCTGTCATCTGGTTCTCGTG